TCCAAATTAATATTTACACATCTACTTTGTCATACCCAAAAGCAAACACTATTCTACTTATTCAACAAAAATGGTGCAACAATGTCTTTCCAGACATTTGATGAATAGAAGTCCAATATTCACTGGCCTTTTGGCTCAGCTGTCTTGAGAAAAATATCTGGGTTCTTAGCTGTTAAAAGCTCCACTTTACCCTTTATCTCTTATGAATCATCTACAGGTCTATCTACCATGCCCCAACATACTTTTTTTTTTAAGCTCTTAGTTTGAACTGGCAACAACTGGTAGACATATCAGGTTAAAAGATAACCAGTGAAGTATTGCCCAGACAGGTACTCACAAGAGTCAGATAGATTACCGTTAGCCCCTTTTATGGGTCCATCTCCAATAACCTGTGATCGCACACTTACCATGGAATTGAAAGTATCATTTGTGGGAACATCATGGTTTATTTTAGGAGACTTGACTAAGCTTCTCCGGAGCTACAGCAGAAACGATTCAACTGCTTTCACATAGTAAGTGGATTCCCCACAAAAGCATGACCTTTACAAATCAAATCAAATGCATATAAATAGTCTACCTGCGTTCCAAATTAATATTTACACATCTACTTTGTCATACCCAAAAGCAAACACTATTCTACTTATTCAACAAAAATGGTGCAACAATGTCTTTCCAGACATTTGATGAATAGAAGTCCAATATTCACTGGCCTTTTGGCTCAGCTGTCTTGAGAAAAATATCTGGGTTCTTAGCTGTTAAAAGCTCCACTTTACCCATCACTTGATAACTGTTTGCTAATTAGTGCTGAGAAGGCAGTGTTAGGTGGGTTATCAGAACTCGTTTGTTTCAGGGAGTTGATGAGAACATCTGACAGCGAAAGTAAAATTCCAAAATTTAAAACCAAAACAATATACTACAAGAGGATAAAACGTTTAACCTTTGCATATTACACGTTAATTCAATATAGTTATTATCAAAAAACATTTATTAAGACAGATTTAAAAGTACTGGTACAACAGAACTTACAGAAAAGTGCATGTTTAACAACTCAGAAATATTTCAGTTTGAGGTCAATGGTGGGCCTGGGTCAGGTGATACACTTTCCCTGCTGTGTCCACACCTGATAGGCCATTTTCACTGAAAATATTTTAACGTCACAAAAGTATGACAAGTTGTTGACAATGTCTGCGGTGAGCAACGTCTATGTCATGGGGCTGCCCCATGCCTTCATTTAAACCAGTGGTGGCACTGGTCTTAGCATGCTAAGCTAACTTTAGCATGTGCATTAGCATTACCTTTAGCATGTGGACTAGCATCAATGGACACATGGCTTGTCATTTCATGTAATTTAATTTCAGTTAATTTAAGCACTAGTTGAAAGAGTAGAAATCATGATTAGATAAATATAACACAAACATAGTTAATTTCAAGTTGTTTAGGTTATTATATTTACAAAGTTCATCCAAATGTTTGCATGGTTCTTTCACCCGTTCTTATCCTCAAGCAGGGATCTGGGTCAAAGTCGCAATCTCGGGGACACATTCATCCTGATTTTGGTAAATATTTTAACATTTGTCATCTTGATAAGTTGTCTGAGATAAAAGCCTTTGTTTCTGTGCATGCTGTGGGGCAGGTAGGTAATAGCGCAGCTGCTTCCAGAAGGAGGAGGAGGGCGGCGTGGAGCTTATGCCCTTCCAGGTGACACAGTCTCCAGCCTCACCAAGAAGCTGTAGAGCCTCTGGTAATGAACCTGATCTCGACACTTCTGTTGTCTCAGTTTTGATGAAAACCAATCGAGTCTGCCGCTCCACAAGGGCTGCATGGATGACACTCAGCAGGCCAGACCCTGGACCAGGATCTGGAGAGGCAGGAACCAGAACCACCGCCCGGCTCTGCTCTATGCAGTCTAACACTGCCTCTGCTACCGCTGCAACCAACCAGAGTTCAGATTACACATTACTTGATTATGATTTTATTCTATATTTTAAGCAGCAGTAAATTGTATGTATTTTATGTTAATATATTCTTTCATTACTAGGGGTACAATACCATACCTTTCCCTGGTAAGACATCACGATCATAAAGACAAAGACTGTAACCAAATCTCTCTTCCAAAACACTCCTCAGCCAGTTTCTGTCATCTTCATTTAATCCTATATCTGTGTCGCTCTCGTAACACATCAGAAAGGCATCATAGCTCTTTCCATCTAAGAAAACATCAAGCAGAAACAGCTTGTCACTGCTGTCACATAGTAATGCAGGTAGAGACAACATGGTTGGCTGCTTTTACCAAACAATTCTGGGAAACATATATACCTGTTACATAAAAGCTATTCAAAAACAAATAACCAAAAACACCCACCTGATTTGCTGTTATAGCAAGTGTCTCGCAGGAAAAGTGCGATGTCCATTTTCAACTTCACATAAACAGCTACTGTTACTGCAATCACCACCACAATGCCCACAATGCCGAGAGCCAGGGAGACGGAGAAAGGAGATGCTGTAGGGACATAAACTAAAACATAAAATAAAAATAATATAATTTATTAAAAGTAGCAGACGCCAGGTCAAACTTTGCTCTAACTTCAATGTGTGGTTGAAGTGCAGCTAATTGAATCCCAGGATCATAAGCTGAGCTGCTTCGGGCTTTATGATAGTAAAGTGAGCACAACACTGCTGGAATCAACCATATGGCAACAATAGTAAATCAGAATCAGAAATGTGTTTATTGTAGACTTTTACATACAGAGAATATGCTTTGATATTTTGGAGCATTACAATAAACATAGTTAAGAGAAAAAAGTTAGTTTTTTTTAAACCATGCACTACCAAATTCAAGAAGTATCAATTTCAATATATTTCTTCTTAAATATTCTATAAAGTTTGTACAAAATATATGTTTTTAGAATGAAAGAGCTGCAGTTTATGCAGGAATGTGCAACAAAGGGGGGAAAGCCAGTGTTCTATCTATTCATCCCTCTTGTATACCTTTTTGGGCCAAGGTGATGGTGACAAAGCTTGCGGGTTCATATACAGATTCCAGTTTACAGGTGTAATTTTTTGATAGATCCTCCTCTGACACTCTTTTGAAGACTAGAGATGCTGTCATTTTTATTCCTTCGGTATCATATTCCCTGAAAAAGAAAGGAAAGGAAAGAATGAAGATAAAGAAGGACAACTGCTAACTATAATATGAGTGTGAGTGCTTATGTGGCTACGTATAATATTTGCACTTCCAAACTTAGTTGGTACATCTGTGTGGCATGTTTACCATGTATTATTGTAGAAAACTGGGAAACTGTTATTTGTTTCCACAAATGAGCTTCCACTTAACCAGAACACCTCATCAAACTCTGAATACATAACAGCTTTACAATCAATCACCACTGTTGAACCTAGGAAAAGCAGAGTTTACACAAATGTTACAAGTAGTTCATTCTAAAGCTATATATAGCGTGTGTTTGTGTGTGCATCTACACAATAACAGAGAATCCAACCTAAATCTACATGAAAGACATCATTTTCACATGGTGAAAGTATTGCTGTTTCCCCAGATTTTTCTGTATAACAAAAAGAGAAAACATGTAACATTTTTTAATAAACACATTAAAGTTATTGAAGCTAAACATATCTCAAAAGTGTTTTTCTTACTGTTTGGTTGGACATCAAGCACCACTGTAAAGGTCATGTTATATATTTGACCATGATACAGGTAAGACCTGGTACAGGTGTACACACCCTGGTCATTCTTTTCCACTTTTGGAAAGTAACTGGCTTTTGGCAGTGACTCACCCTCCTACAAGACAGAAAATTAAGTTTGACATTTAATTACCATTTTTAGTTTTAAATGTAGAAAAAAACATGTTCAAATGTATATTAAAACAACTGTGGTACACTTTGGAAAATAGTAATAATGTAAAAACAAATCAAGCAAGTTACAGCTTCTAATTAAACAATCATGTTCACACTCAATTCACACAATTTTGCTGTGTTAAAATACCTTGTGCCAGATAATGCTGTTGCTGGTAATATCAGGGGTATTTTCAGCAGGGATGTTTGCATCAGGGCAATTTAATTTGCAGGACTCCTGTGTGTAACATGTCTCAGAGTACATGTTCCTTTCTTCATACTCTCTCTCTGTTGTGTAAACTGTCAGCCTGAACCAGAACTGGCTACTGGCATTCCTGTCATGTCATCAAGAAAAGGTTAATGTGAAGATTTAGATTTGAAACTCTGAAAGTATTGAAGGTTTTAAGGCTTCTCCAAAATACAACCTTTCCTCTAGCCAGTGTGCTATTTCTACATCCAGATAGTTTTGATATCAGTTGGCAAGATCTGCAGATGTCTGCCATCACCATAATGCAACAGACCTTTAATGGTATTTGGTTCATGGCTGACAAGGTTTCAAGCTGCAAAGAACCAAAACTATCTGAATAGAGAGATATAGCTCTGGATAAGAGCCACTTTAAATCACACTACTTTTGTAAAGGCATTTGTGATTTCCAGAGGAGAATCATGATGGCTTTATTATTTGATCCGTTGACTTTTCACTTGTGATTTTGAATGAAACGTCTGAACAACTTTAAGATGGATTACTATGTAATTTGGTATCAACATTGGTATCAACATTGTTCTTTTCAGGATGAATTGTAATCCTTTACTTTTTATCTAATGTCAACATTAAGTGATGTCATTCCTATCAGCCTCTGCTATACTTTGTGTTTATTAGCAAATGTTAGCATGCTATCAAGCTAAATTAAGATGTTGAACATTATCTCCTAAACACCAGCATGCTCGCATTGCTATTGTTGGCATGTTAGCATTTTCACATTAGCATTGTGCTCAAAGCACTGCTAAGTACAGCATCATTACCAAGCTGCTAGCAGAGTCTTGTTTATTGTTGCTCACCAAGATGGCATGCAACAAGTACAACAGCTTAGCACTTTATAGTAACTACACACTATAAAGCAAGTAGTAGTAAATACAGAATTCATCATTTATAAAGCATTGTTCATACATTAATACACATTAGTAGGTCATTCATAAACATAGTTATATGTAACCCTTATCACGAGGTAGTAATAATGTACATAGGTGTAATAGTCTAAAGTAGTCTTATCAATGTGGACCAGAATCAGAATACACTAAATTGTTAAGAGCCTGAGAATTGAATGTCAATAAAAAGAATACCACACCCGAATGACAGTTTGCATAAAAAAAAAAACAAAACTTCCTTTTAACTTCGTTGAGCTCAGTTCGTCCTTAGTTCCACTTGCCTTTATTGACAAGAGTTCATTTCTCACCGTTGGGGCCCTTTTAAGTTTGTGTTAGTGTTTGTCCTACCACCATGAAGATGAGGAAGATCCTGGCAATCCGTCTAAAGCCAGAGTCACAAACACGGTTGGCTCGCCACCCAGCCACCTAGACTGGGAATCCACAAAGCTCTGGAAAAATGTCTGGAACATGTAGATTGGTATCACTCCGTGGAATGGATCTCAGCTGCACAAGGCTTCCAACTCTTTACCAAAACCTGACCTATAAACAAGGCCAAATCATTTCTCTCAATTACCATTCAGCGAATACACGGACTGCTACGGGCTACTATAAAATAAAATGAAATATTTCAGTACACCTATAATGCAATATCAAAATCGCTCTCTCATTGTACAACAGCTTCTTGTTTCTTCTTATATATAAAAAGTATGAATTTCTCAAATATCAAAAGTACATGTACATCAAAAATTACATCCTTGATATAAACACAAAGTTTTATGAACCCTAAGTAACATTAGCAGTGTCATAAATAAACTGTAGGCATTGCATGTAAACATTGATCAAATCGTATTACTTCAAATTAGAGGCATTAAGGTGTTAGCGTGCTCATTTATCCCCCTCTGCACCGGTAACAGTGGAAAGAATGCACTAAAAATTTACCTCTTTAACTTCCAGTAACAACAGTTTTTAACATCATTATTTTTTCAAAGTAACCATTTAGCAACAACATGGAAAGGTAACAATTCCTTTTATAACCCACAAACAAAATAGTTTGTAATTTTCACAGGCATTAAAGAGTATTCCGCTAGCTTATTGTGGTTAATTACCCTATTAGCATATGAATACAGCAGTCTCACATTAGCTTTACACAATTAGCACCTTTGCATAGCTTCACCGATTAGCGCCGATTAGCATAAATGCTAGCGAACTCCCAGTAAACTCAGCAGGCTAGGTTAAATACAAATGGGCCTCAAAAGCCTAGGCCTGTTAACATGGATGCTAGCGAACGCAAAGGCCTAGCGCAAGGTAAACAACTCACCATTTTAGCGGAATTCACTGCCTTTAGCTCCGTGACAACAGTGAATTCAGGCACAGCTCTCATTTACTCTCTATATTACAACAGGGTATAGTCAGTATAAGCGATTATGATCACAGAATTTGTTTAATTCACTCCATGTCGGTTCTCGTCTTACCAAGGGGATAACGCAGCCTCCTACGCTCAGGTACAGGCGTCAAAAGAATGTGCAGAGACGCGAAACGAGAGGCGTAATTGTAACGGAACATAGCTGGCAGCTGATTGGTCAGCTCACTGCATCATAACGTCCACCCATTTGCTAACTTACAAGCCCATCAAACATGCTGATCCAGCACGACTCATCTCCTCTTCACTCTCTGACATGTCCGAGAACACTGGAAGCTGCTCATTGTGGATGTCATCATCATGTAAGTTGTGTTTCTCCACAGATTGTTCATTATCAGGTAAGTTACTTTCAGTCATGACTATTTCATCAACTTGTTCATCAGGCATGACTCTTTTGGTAAGTAGGTACTCAGTGTCACAGTGATGGCAGTTAGGATCACTAAGTGTGAGGGGACTGTCTGAGGTACCATTAAACCAGGTGGTTTGTCAATTTCAGGAATGCAATCAACATTCTGATCATTTAAAGGACTCTCGATGGGACAGATGCCTAGAGGTTCAGTATGCTGTGTATCCTGCACAGAAGACATAGTTGAATCAGGCTGCACTAGACTGTCATGGACTATCGGAAACTGAGCATTTGGGGGTTCTCTGAAACAGTAAACAGGAATGATTTCATCCTCATCTTCTGAGAAGTAGTTTTCGTCCACAGTGGGATTTGCACGGGTTGCTGGCCTGCACCTTACGGGTTGCTGGTCAGGCTCCCTGTTGACCTCTGCAGGCAAGTACCCACATGGAAGTAGTAAGTCCCTATGCAGTGTTCTTAGAGGACCATCCTGATTTTCAGGTTTGACTGTGTAGACGGGCAGAATACCTGCTCTCCTCAGCACTACATGGACAGTTGACTCCCACTTGTCTGAAATCTTATGTTTCCCTCGAATACGAACATTTCTGACCAACACTCGGTCTCCAGCTTCCAAGTCCGAAGCAGTCACACGCCTGTCATACCTCACTTTGTTTTTGTGTGCTATTTTTGCAGCATTATCAGTTGCTATCTTGTAGCTGTCTTCAAGTCGTGACTTAAGCTTTTGCACATACTCTGAGTGTGATGTATGCTGACCCCCTTGCACTGGCAATCCAAACGCCAAATCAACCGGAAGACAAGGCTGACGCCCAAACATCAGTTCATATGGTGTGAATCCTGTCACCTCATTCCTGGTGCAATTATAGGCGTGGACCGGGGGTTTTACAAAATCACGCCAATGAGACTTCTCTGAGTCTTGAAGAGTACCTAGCATGGTGAGTAATGTGCAATTAAATCGCTCAACAGTGTTGCCCCTAGGATGGTATGGGGTTGTTCTTACTTTATGTATGCCGGCCACTCGACAGAGCTCTTTTATCGTGCGGGACTCGAAATCGGGCCCCTGATCACTGTGTAGCTTTTCTGGGATTCCGTAGTGCACCATGAAGTTCTCCCACAGACACTTTGCTACTGTGCGGGCCTTCTGGTTAGGTGTTGGCATGGCAACCGCAAACTTGGTAAAGTGATCTGTAATCACAAGTATGTCTTTGGTCCCACTGTTGTCAGGTTCAAGAGAGAGGAAGTCCATACAGAGGAGCTCAAGGGGTCTGGTGGTGTTAATGTTGACTAAAGGCGCAGCTCTCTCAGGTAGCGCCTTCCTCCGTACGCACCTGCCACATGTTTTGACCTTTCTCTCAACATCCAAAGCCATCTTTGGCCAAAAGAATCTGGTCCTTACAAGATCCAGTGTGCGATCAACCCCCATATGACCCATATGATCATGTAGGCTGGTTAAAACTGTGTCACGAAGTTCAGCTGGGAGCACAAGCTGATAAAATGTCTGAGATCCTACTTGGCGTCTCCGGTACAAGATGTCATTGAGAAGTTCAAGGCGATTTAGCTCTCTCAGCAAGAATGGAAGCACAGGGAGTTCATGCCGCAAAGTGGGGGGTGATTTGTCTCCCTGCTCGATCTGGGAAATGACATGCTTTAAGATTTGATCAGCTCTTTGTTTACTTACAAGCTCTGCCTCAGTTAAGTGGGGGATAACTGGCAACCCACCAAGGTGATCTTCTTGCCCATAACCGTCAGGCACAGCAGTAGGTGAGATGGCAAGAGTTTCAACTAAGGCAACACCACTTGTAAAATCTTGATCATGACTGATGCTGTAGATGAGCTGTCTCTCACAGATCGCTTGCACAACAGCTTGATCTACTGCATCTATGTTTTCTGGATCAGAGAGGTGACCCTGGGTGAACTGTCTTATGCGCTCTTTCTCCTTTTGAGATTTAAGATCATCAGCCAGCTTCCCATTAGGCCTGCGGGACAATCCATCTGCATCACCATTTTGCTTTCCTGGACGATAGAGGAGTTTAAATGAGAACGTGGACAGTGCTGCCAGCCACCTATAGCTTGTCGCGTCAAGTTTTGCTGAGGTCAGGATATATGTCAGCGGATTGCTATCAGTAACAACAGTGAAGTGGTTGCCGTAAAGATAATCACTAAACTTTTCTGTCACTGACCACTTGAGAGCCAAAAATTCCAACTTGTGTGCTGGATAGCGACTCTCACTCCTTGACAACCCTCTGCTTGCATAGCCTATGACTCGAAGTTGGCCCTCCTGTTCCTGATACAAAACAGCACCGAGCCCAGTGGTGCTTGCATCGGTGTGGAGTACATAGGGCTTCTGGGGATCTGCAAAACCCAACACCGGGGCAGAGGTAAGGCTCTCAATAACCAGGTCAAACGCTTGCTGGCAAGCAGGTGTCCAGCGATCCCCAAAGACTTCCTTTGGGTTGAGGTACTGACCTGCTCTCTCTTCTGACTTACATTTCTTGTGAGAAGATGGGTAACCAGAGGTTAGATTATGGAGGGGCTTCACGATGTTAGAGTAGCCCTTAACAAACCTCCTGTAGTACCCAGCGAACCCAAGAAAGGATCTCAACTCTCGCAGGTTGGTTGGGACTGGCCAAGTCTTAAGAGCAGTGATCTTCTCCGGATCAGTCTCAACTCCATTCCTGGAAACCACATGCCCAAGATAACGGACTGACGTCTGGAAGAAGACACACTTTTCAGGAGATAATTTCAACCCGAATTCTCTAAGGCGTGTGAGCACCTTCATCAGCCTTGCTTCATGCTCCTCTAGAGTCTTTGAGAACACAATCAAGTTATCAATAAAGACTAGCACGTCCTTTAAATGCATGTCCCCCATACACTTTTCCATTAATCTTTGAAATGTACTCGGCGCATTGGTCAGTCCCTGAGGCATTCGGTTTAATTCCCAGAACCCAAGGGGACACACGAAAGCGGTTTTTGGTTTATCTGCTTCCTCAACCTCGATTTGGTAATAACCAGACTTCAAATCAAGGACGGAGAACCACTGGGAACCGCTGAGCGCTGAGAATGTGTCTTCCAGCTTTGGAAGAGAATATGCATCCTTTATGGTCTGGAGGTTCAGACGCCTGTAGTCTATGCCCAACCGGACCTGGCCATTCTTTGACGAGAAAGGTGACTCGGACTCTCTGATGACTCCTGCATAAAGAAGCTCTTGAATATGTTTTCGAACAGCTTCAATGTCTTGTGGGTGTATTGGTCGAGCACGCTGTTTAAAAGGAGTTTCATCTGAGAGTTTGATGTTATGTGCTACCTTATCTGTTCGGCCAAAATCCAGGTCATGTTGCGCAAACACGTCGGGCATGTTGTTGAGCTGCTGAGTGATGCGTTCTTTCCATTCAGATGGAATTGGGGACTCACCAAAATTGAAGTTCAGGTTGTGCTTTTTGTTTGACTGAGCCTCTGGTGACTTTCGGAGGGACTCTGATTGGTTTACTAGACTGTGCTCCTGTAACAAGATGCTCTGGTAAGCGCTTATCTCTGCAATCGCACATTTAGCAGGGATGACTATATCATGGTCAGACTCATTACTGATGACAACGGGTAGCTAATAGGGCTGCTGCTGGGGAACGTCAACCAAGCTAGCTGTCACCAACAAGCCACCCGGCAAGGCGGATGAAGATGGCTGCTCAATGACTACGGACTTCTCATTCAGTAAGCAATTAGCTACAGCAACTCCCTCAACTACTACAGTTTCACCAGCTGGAATGACTTTAGAGTGTCTGCCTTGCAATGTCACTACACTGTGGTGACTGTTGTTGGTCTGCTTTTGTCTGAGCTCAAGACATTTAAGAACTGCCCTATAGCCAAGCGGGATGGGTTGATGGTATGTCAATCCGGCTTCAGAGTACATGTCATACAAAACATCAAGGGTATTGGTGCCTATAAGCACAAGAGACTGATGTGGCCCGAATGTCAGGAACAACCAAAGCAAGTGTATGCACATCCACTGATGCTCCAATAAACTCTTTTGGAAAAGTTACAGTCATTTCTATGTAACCTAAGTAGGGTACGGACTGTCCATTCACTCCCTCCACCTCCAAGAGATCATGTAGTGGCTTAATCTCCTGCTCTGACAAGTGCTGTTCATAAAATGACCGGGGAACTGTCGTTACTTGTGAACCCGTATCAAGTAGGCAGTTAACTTCTTCACCTTTTATGTTGACTTTAGCTGTACTCTTGGTGCCAACCAGTCTCTTAGGAAGTTTAAAAGGGTGGTTCTTACTTGAATGTTTTAGACTAGCACATACTCCAGCCTTGCCTTTGCGGTTTGCGTCTGAGGGACGTTTTTGACTCCCTTCAGCCCCCGTTTGTCCCACAACAGGAACTGTTAGTCGTTTAAAGGTAAGTTGAGACTGGTTTGTGTTTCCCACCTGTGCTGCTTCTCCTCTAACTGTTTTCTCTTTTCAGCTACTAAAGCAGGGTTTGCCCTGTCTGTGCAAAATGGGGCAATGTGTCCATCCTCCCCACAGTTAAAGCAGTACCAAGGCCTGGGTCTGTTAGTCTGCTTTTTCTTGGTCTGTTTTGGCATGTCTGTGTCAGCACTGTCTAGTTTTGGTACCTTTCCTGTACTTTTCCCTGCTGCTCCCCCGTTATCAGCCCCCTTCGTCTTTTTCTGTGACATGAAAGAGGTTAATTGGCTTTGCAGACTGGCAACCTGTCTCCCAAGATCCTCAATCACACTGAGACTGACCTCTGACTTTCTTTTGACTCTACACAGGCCCACGCGCTTTGGAGCTGAAGCTGACCAAGTTGCCTGGCAGTGCCTATGTGTTTTTTCATGCGACTAGCTTTTGCTGTCTGTCCTCTTCTGTTCTTAGTAACAGCAAGAGGTCAACAAATGAAGGGGGGCTGCTTTTCTTCTGCTCAAGTTGCAGGCCAGAGAGCAAAGAATTGTCCCAGCATCCCCTACAGAACTGTTTGAGTAGGTGTTTATCCACCTCGGCAGGCGCAACTCCACCCCTTCTTACAGCTAGGTTTAATGCTAATTGCAATCGATAAAGATATGTGGAGGGCTTCTCACCCGGATCTTGAAGGGTGTTCATAAACTGGGTAAAAAGTTCCTCCCCATCCTCAACAGTACCAAAGGCTTAGTCCAAAAGTTGCAGGTAAGCGGTGGGGGGTGATCCAGGCCGTAGCCCTTTGACCACATCGGCTGCAGGCGAAAGCAGACATTCGAGAATTCTTCTTGAGATCTGGAGATGGGACAAGTTGGGATCGTTTAAAAGCAGTTCGATGTGTGAGCGCCAAGTGTCGTAATCAGCTTCACTATTGGGTCTGGGAATCTTTCCAGAAAACGAACGAAGCCTTACTGGGGATTGCAAGTGTGGGCTACTATCTTCCCTTCTTACAATATGCTCAACCACCACCTTCTGTATTTCTGCTGGGTTTATGTCACTTACTGAAAGGGACGGAGCTTTCCCTCCATTAGTGAACAGGACTGAATCAGGGGCACTTAAACAACTGCCTTCCAGAGGGGTGTCCAAGAGTGAGACAAGGGGCTGTTGACCCTCGGGGGTAGAAGGCTGACGCGTCACAACTGGGGTCTCAACATGTGAAGGAGAGATTTCTGTAGCTACGTGCCTCATAGCTTCAATATCTTCACCAATCTGAGACATCTCTTTCAACACCTCCCTATAGTCTTTGCCACTTAGCTTGGTTAAGCCCTTTAGCTCAGCTAGGTATGTTTTTGTAACAATACTACCAATCTGAGTCGTGTACACACTGCTTAATGCTTTTACACCATATCTAACACATGGCTCACCTTGCACTGTGTATGTGTATGGCAAAAGTGGCTCTAGGAACTCTAAAGCCGAGCTGCTCGAAAACTCAATGATCAGGTTTTGGTAAAATTCTGATTTAGAATCATCAACGGAAAGGGCTCTTTCAATCGAACCGTACTTCTTAAGGAAGTCAACAACTTGCTCATCTTGGTCTGCTACTTGGGTTAAACCACTAACGATAACTGCATTCGGAATTTTAACACTTGACTTCTGTATGAAGTCCATTTTGCATATTCTTTCAAAATTGATATCCAATGTCTCTGGCTCCTGGCTGGCTCGCCAATTTATGTAACCCTTATCACGAGGTAGTAATAATGTACATAGGTGTAATAGTCTAAAGTAGTCTTATCAATGTGGACCAGAATCAGAATACACTAAATTGTTAAGAGCCTGAGAATTGAATGTCAATAAAAAGAATACCACACCCGAATGACAGTTTGCATTAAGTGTATTAAATACACAGGGATGGTACATACATAAGAAAGCAGGTTTTAAAAAAAAAACAACCTTCCTTTTAACTTCGTTGAGCTCAGTTCGTCCTTAGTTCCACTTGCCTTTATTGACAAGAGTTCATTTCTCACCGTTGGGGCCCTTTTAAGTTTGTGTTAGTGTTTGTCCTACCACCATGAAGATGAGGAAGATCCTGGCAATCCGTCTAAAGCCAGAGTCACAAACACGGTTGGCTCGCCACCCAGCCACCTAGACTGGGAATCCACAAAGCTCTGGAAAAATGTCTGGAACATGTAGATTGGTATCACTCCGTGGAATGGATCTCAGCTGCACAAGGCTTCCAACTCTTTACCAAAACCTGACCTATAAACAAGGCCAAATCATTTCTCTCAATTACCATTCAGCGAATACACGGACTGCTACGGGCTACTATAAAATAAAATGAAATATTTCAGTACACCTATAATGCAATATCAAAATCGCTCTCTCATTGTACAACAGCTTCTTGTTTCTTCTTATATATAAAAAGTATGAATTTCTCAAATATCAAAAGTACATGTGCATCAAAAATTACATCCTTGATATAAACACTAAGTTTTATGAACCCTAAGGAACATTAGCAGTGTCATAAATAAACTGCAGGCATTACATGTAAACATTGATCAAATCGTATTACTTCAAATTAGAGGCATTAAGGTGTTAGCGTGCTCATTTATCCCCCTCTGCACCGGTAACAGTGGAAAGAATGCACTAAAAATTTACCTCTTTAACTTGGGACAAATGGGCCTCAAAAGCCTAGGCCTGTTAACATGGATGCTAGCGAACTCAAAGGCCTAGCGCAAGGTAAACAACTCACCATTTTAGCGGAATTCACTGCCTTTAGCTCCGTGACAACAGTGGATTCAGGCACAGCTCTCATTTACTCTCTATATTACAACAGGGTATAGTCAGTATAAGCGATTATGATCACAGAATTTGTTTAATTCACTCCATGTCGTTTCTCGTCTTACCAAGGGGATAACGCAGCCTCCTACGCTCAGGTACAGGCGCCAAAAGAATGTGCAGAGACGCGAAATGAGAGGCGTAATTGTAACGGAACATAGCTGGAAGCTGATTGGTCAGCTCACTGCATCATAACGTCCACCCATTTGCTAACTTACAAGCCCATCAAACATGCTGAGAAAAATAAAAGTTAACCCTTAGTGACTTGGTCAGACAGCTAAATAGTGTTTCTCATTATTAAGCCTGGGCTACATATACATGTTGTATTCTAATAAGCTCATCTATAATGTGCTTAATAATTGTATTTTCATACTTTATACATGATCAGTTCACTATTTATAAATTAAGTATTATTTTAATGACAAACCATTTATAAATGAGTTGTTAATGGTTCTTTCCCGGGAAAGAATAATAACAATCTCAGCATAACGCCTAAATCTACCAGTCGCAAAGCCCATAGGATGCTACTAAGACTACCTGAAAGATTCCCCAGCTAACTTTACTGGGTAAAAGCCTCACCATTACAGGCCTGGTACTGTTTCTCTGAGACAGATCATCTATCACTACCAGCTCATCAATGATGTGCTTAATGATTGTATTTGATAAAAAGTGTTATTCCAATGAAAAACCATACAGTATATGGTTCATACGATCATGTAGAACATTTAAGGAAATTATTTAAGTATTTTCTCTCTAAAGTAAGGACTAACGTTATCTAGGCCATACAAAACATTACAAATGACTTCTTATGTCTCAGCTTTATTATGGGTTAACACCATACACTGTATATAAAAAGGTTAACACCCCTTTAGTGTCGTTTTTGGACGTCTTGGCGGTCAAGTTAGTAACAATAAATATGCAAAGTCCGGTTACGCTTTCAAAATAAAACTAGCGAATAACGTTTTGAAACAGAGCGTTACTTGCGTTCCATACGCAAACGAAGAAAAAGAAAGTATGGTTCCCCTTCGAGGGAACTCAAACTGCGTCGGTGACAACACTATGGGAACGCCTCTGGGCGTGGCATGGCTGAACTATGAATGAAACTACTCCAATCCTATTGGTGTTACTAGAACGGTAGTGTGTGACGGCATAACCGGAGGGGGTATATAAGCACGCCGGCACATAGGACACATTAGCTTCTTTCTATTCAGCAGGACACTCTGGCTATGTTTGGAAGCTCTATTTTCCTACCTGACATCGAGACGAAGCAGCAGATCATGTCTAAGCGATTCCTTACAGTGTGTCTTTCCATGTGAGCGTTTCATCACGGAGGGTGATACCCATGAGATCTGCGTCTCATGCCTGGGGATGTTGCATGCTCAGGCGGCTCTCGAGGGGGCTGCCTGCGACCATTGCGAGGCCCTGCTCCTGAGGGTGCTGAGGTCTCGAGCGGCTCTCTTCCTAGAGGATGGTCGGATGCGCTCCCCTCGTGGCACAGGCCCCGCGGTCGCTGAGGCGTCGCGGCGGCTCCGATCCTGGGGATCACAACGCGAGATCGCCGAGGGTGCCGGAACGGCTGAGGCCTTTTTCCGGTCCTCGTCCGCGGAATCCTCGTCCCCGATCGGGAGCCCGTTTCTCGGTTTCTCCCACTCGTGGGGTGAGTCCGGAGAGGCTGGATGCCATGGTGCAGACGTGGCGGAGGCTGCGTCTGTATGTGTTTCCCCCAGTCGCTCTGCTCCCAGGGGTTCTGAAGCGGGTCCGCCAGGACATCAGCCTACTCCTAGTAGACCCGTTTTGGCCAGCACGAGTGTGGTTCTCGGATTTAATATCGCTCCTCGAGGGCCCGCCCTGGCAGGTCCCTTTGAGGAGAGACCTGCTGTCCCAGGCGGAGGGCCGGATCTTTCACCCGCACCCCGCCCTGTGGCAGCTATGGGTCTGGCCCCTGAGGGGGCGCAGTTCCTAGAGGCGGGCCTGACGACAGGAGCAGTCGAGACACTGCTCAGCTCCAGAGCCCCGTCCATGAGAAGAATCTACGGCCTAAAGTGGAATGTGTTCACCACCTGGTGCAGAGAACGGGCGGTGGACCCAGTTACCTACTCACCTAATCACTAATTGTGATACTGGAGTTCCTCCAGCACCGTTTCTCCGCTGGCCTCTCCCCGTCCACGCTCAAAGTGTATGTGGCTGCCATTGCAGCATTCCACGCCCCTCTGAGTGATGGGCCTCTGGGGAGGCTTCCACTGGCCGTGTGCTTCCTCCATGGAGCCCGGAGGATGAGATCCAATGACTCGTTCCAGGGTTCCCACCTGGGACCTGGCAGTGGTTCTCGAAGCGCTGGCTGAGGCCCCCTTCGAACCCCTGGAGTCGGCTGAGGCCAAGCACCTGACCCTTAAGATGACCTTTCTCCTCGCTATCACCTCTCTGAGGAGGGTGGGGGATCTCCAGGCACTTTCGGTTTCTCCCCGATGCCTGGAGTTTGCCCCGGGGAGGGTCAGGGCCATCCTGCACCCTTGTCCAGGTTATGTCCCTAAGGTTCCGGACAGACTGGCAGGGACCACGGTGCTGCAGGCGTTTCATCCCCCACCTCATGTGACGGCGGAGGACGGGAGACTTCATCTGCTCTGCCCTGTCAGAGCACTGAGTATTTATACTCTGAGGTCTTCCCGGTGGAGGAAAGCAGACCAGTTGCTGGTGTGTTTCGGGTCCCCCAAGGCTGGGCTCCCTGCTTCTAAACACACCATCAGCAACTAGATCGTTCAGACTATTTCTCTGGCCTATCAGGTGCGCGGTTTGCCTTCACCTATGGCCGTAAGGGCGCACTCTACTCGAGGCATGGCGGCTTCTAGTGCTCTCCTCGCAGGGGCATCACTCCAGGATTTGTGTGACGCGACTGGCTGGGCCGCCCCTCGGTTTTACAGTCTGTACCTGCCTTCTGCACCCAGCTCCCGTGTGCTCTCCTCCGTCAGGTTCTGCACGCTGGGGGCAGGCGGGATTTCGGCGCGGCCTAAGTGGGTATCTCGTTCCCATAGTGTCGTCACCGATGCAGTTCGAGTTCCCTCGAAGGGGAACATACGTAACCCGAGACGTTTCTGGTCAAGCCGCCCTTCTCAACCATGTCTCCTCCTTACCATAGACTGTAGCCCACATAAAAAATACGGGCCTTAAAGCAGTGCTATTTTGACCCTTGACGCATCCAGTAGTCTCTGCCGTGTGTGCTCACTTTAGCGCCCTTACCGAGGAAGAACAGAGATCACACGGGCCCAGAAGCGGGTCTTAAGTGTAAATATACCATATACCATCACATATACTATTACCGAAGGAGTTTTTTACCCCTGGAAACTCCGTTGAGTAAAGTTTGTAACCTTTAGGAGAGAGCTAAAAGTGCAGCGTGATGCTAGCTTAAATGGGTGGGTTAAAACCATATTACTGTAAGTTAAAAACAGTCGGAGGATGTTGTGAACACGATGTCGTGAACTGTTCAACGGTATTTTGTTGTGTCCTGATTTCAAACTAATCTCTGCTACTTTTGGATGTGTAAGCACATGTAGTACCTTCAGAGGTATTTTTATTTACAGTATTTATAATGTTAAAGATAATTTCTTTGACTAAAATGTGTAAACTCTGTAATGTATTTTTGGTTGTAATTTAATCTAATGTTAAGAAATTTAAGGATCATAGTTGCTTAAATGCTAAATCTTCGGTAACGTTATAACAATGTAAAACTTAAGAAGAGTCCCTAGACAACAGGGTGATTATATTTAGTTTTGACAAACGGTATGAGATCTTATTTGAAGAACATTGACTGTGATGATTTTTCTGATTTATTCTGCACTCTATACGTGCAGCCTGGTTTTTGAGACCGTGGATTGTAGCTTAGAGGTCAACTCTTTGCTGGATGCAGATGGCAAGCGAGTCCCAGAGATGATGCACCTTGTATGATGAGATCGGACCACGGTGTGGCCAGGTGCTTCAGATCCCATTCAACAGGACTGACACATCAGATTACAGGAGAAGAAAGATCCACCACATGTTCATTATCCTGCCCAGGTAG